GGACAGGAGAGGAAGTAAGTTAAGTTGACTTAGTAATAACATTACAAGGAAAACTAAAGACTGTCAAAGTGAAAAAAAATTGAAGGAGTCATTTTGCAGTGAACGTGGGCTTTATCAGAACTGTATTGATTCCCTTTGTTATGAGGTAGGGCGAGGAAACAACAGCATCTATATTAATGGAACATGATGTATAAGATATTTAAGATCTTAAGAAACACACTTTAATATCTTACTACCAGCAAGACAGATGGAGATCTCAAACTTCAAAAGGACTTAGAGACCGAATCATTTATATAAGCAAAGGACAAGCGGGGATAGATTGGAAAAAGAAACAGGGATACATAAAATAGCCTGTTGAAAAGTGTGTATGGAAATTCAGGAGAAAATCCCAATGCAAAATAGAAAGAGAAAAACCGTAACTAGTTTAAATAGGTACTTCTTGCTGGGGATTTAGCTCAGTGGTAGAATGCTTGTCTAGCAAGCTAGAATCCCTATGTTTGGTCCTCAGGACCAAATTATAAAATAAATAAATAAACAAATAAACATGTACTTTTCACAAAATAGATTTCTCACCATGTTACAAAATTACTTAAAATGTAGAGAAGGCAATAAACCACACAATGTTTCATTGATGTACATGATTGTACAATGTTTTGAGAAGAATCTTATTTTCCTATGTATATTTACAGGTATTGTGCACTGCTTGGAGCACCTACACAATTGCACTGGAAGTATTTTAATGAAATATATACTTTAAAAATTTAAATAAAATCCTCAATTGACAGGTTGCATAAAAGGAAGTTTTTTAAAATTAATTTTGATAAAAATCGGTTCTGTTTAAACTACCCTTTCTCAAAACCGGTTTGCATAATGTAGCCTTTTAAGAGCTTTCTGAAACACAGGCTTTTTTCCTTCTTTGTTTGCCTACTGAGCTATATCCCTAGTTCACTTTTCAGAACTCTTCACTTCAAATTTTCTGTTTGCAATAAAGCATTCAGTAGGACTTTCTGGAGATACGGAGCTAGGGCAGATGCTCCGTGACTTGGGACTGCCCCACATATGGTAGGACATCTGGCAAGCCTGCCTGCTGACAGCAGCAAGCACAGAAATGTCCAGACACCTCGCTATGGATGGTACCCAGCCCGTGAATGACGACAATCATGGGATGATCAAACCGTCAGCCAGCAAGGCCAACTGCACAAACGTGTTCTGTGGTTGTAGAAGCAGGAAAGCCAAGAATCAGCTGGGGTGCTGATTCATCGCGGGGTCCGCGGTGCACATGGGAATCCCTCCTCACCCACGCTGAGTGACAGCACCCTGGCCCAGATCACGTACAGCTGTGGAGTTAGTCTTCTTTGCCAACTCCTCCCATTTAGTCACCCTTCAGCCCCAGTGCCCTTTCTGTGATTAAGCTGCCATAAACTGAGGTACTCTCCTGCAGCCTACTGTCACATTCTGCCCTTTGGAAACAAGCAACAATAATAAAGCACATGGCACTGCTTCAAGAACGTGTCTGCTACAGTTTTGGGTCCAGGGTCTCTGCATTCAGATGTGCTGCCCCACCCAGGTGGAGGCCAAAGGCAAGGTGGGCAGGGCCACTGGAAGCTGCCTGTGATTCCCTCTGAGAGCAGCCACAGGCAGTGTGCGCAGCAGCTCCCAGGCCCTCCTCCCCTGGCTTCCAGGAGATTTGGTCATCTGGGAAGCAGCTGAGCAGATTCCTGCAGAGCAGGGGTGGAGAGCAAAGCAGGAAGAGAGTGGCTTGGCCGGAGAGAAGACGAGGAAGAGAAGAAGTGGGTTACGCAGAGCCCTAGGGTGCAGCCCTGTTACACACAGGGGCGCCCATCTGGCTCCACTTTCCATTCTTCCCTGCCATAAGGTTTCCCCACAGACTCTTCTTCCTGAATCTGCCAGTGGTGGCCGTAAGATTCAGTGTGAGTAGAAGCTCGATCTGCCAGCCATGCCTCAAGCCTGAGGAATGACGTACAAATTGCTTTTCTTTTATCCCCCCTCATCTTTGGGATTTGAAGCATCCTCCAGGGTGGCAAAAGCCGCCTTTTTGCAAGGATCTTTCTGAAGGCCTCACTGTCTGTCTGCTGGCCCTGTGCTGCTGGGAGCTGTGGATGCCACAGCCATCCACCGTGGCAGAGACCACCTGCAATATGGAAATTACCAGCAGCCCGGGGTTTGCTCCTGCTCATTAACAGCAGTTGCCAGCGCACCTGAAGCATTCTGGGAATTGGATTGCTGTTGTTTCTCTAGTAGCTTCTTAAAGAGAACGGACAGCAAACATGGACCAAGTTTTGCCAGAACAATCGAAAAGGATGATGGCTGCTGTTGTCAATTACTGGCATTTCGACAAGATTGTATTTTTATTTTTAAGTATATTTGCACAGCTAGGAAGCATCTGCTGACAACGATGAGATGATAAGCTGTACCTGTGCCAAAACAGGATTAGCAAAACAGGCTTGTTCTGAGAGTGGCCTACATCCTGAGAGTCCGTGTTAAGAACATTCCCTCTCCATAGGCAATCTCTGCTCTCAAAATTTTAACAGTTGAAAGGAAATCAGGCTTGGAATCCCTATCAAATAGCACAGTGATACAATCAGCAAGTTCTCAGTAATTGCTTGCGGGATGCTGGGAGCTGGACACACACACACCTGAGGGAGGACTGGAGAGTCCTGCCATAGGAAAGCCTGGCACGCCCATGTCTGAGTGCCACATCTTTATCTCTACTGGAGAGAGCATCATGACGCCGACCTTTAGATGACTGAAGTTTCAGCACTGATGGGCACACAGCAGGGAAAGAAAGGAGGATCAAAGGTCACCTTCTTGGACAGGAACCCTCTGCTCTTTGACCCTTGATTTTACAGTTGTCTTAAACAAGAAAGGGCTGGTGGAGGAGTGAGGCCAGAATCCTGGGTGGTAAGAAAAAGGGAAATTGGTAGAAATTGCATCATTCGAATTGGACTAACTCGGCTTTGTGGCCTGGGCAGGTTCCCAGGATGTCCGGCCCATGGCAGGACCTCTAGGAGATGAGGCTGGAGTGTGGATGATGACACAGAAGCCAGAACTGGAGAGACAGAGCCAATGGGGAGCTCAGCTGAGGCGCTCCCCCCCACCCGTATACTACCCTGCACCCTGCACCCTGCTCCCTACTCCCTCTAAGTCAACCCACTTGGCCACTGGATATTTGCCGATTTTTCTGACGGATACATTCTTTCTCTGCCAACATCCCACACAGAACCAAAGTGAAGCAATCTAGCAATTTCTTACTTAGCCTACTGCCTGCTTTCTTATTCTGTCTCCAGTTTGCTTTGGATCAGTGTGTATCAAGATGCCAAAAACTATATAATTTTCTTTAGTGGCACATGATGGAGATGCTGATAACTTTGCTTTTGTTGTTGTTGTTGTTTTGTTTTAAACCATAGCCGTTTTCCATTCTGGGCAGTTATGATTCAGTTTACTATGAGTTTCATGTGTTCTCTTCATTCCTGTCCCACGGGTTGTTGTATGGGAGCAATTTCACCGTACTACCTTGTAAGTTGGGACTGATAAACTTGGGTGCTTTTGTCTTGACAACAGGGGGAAGAAGTGAGGAGAGAGCATGTGAAATGATCTAGGGGTCTGAATAAATCTAGACCCAAAACGTGTTACTGCATATTTATAATCTGGAGCAAAATACTGTGTCACTGATCCTTGTAAGATGCTATGATAGGCAGGAGGAGCTTATTTCTGCGGATTTCAGTTGGTTGAGTCTATCTCTGTCATCCCAAGACAAGCATGCACCAGCCTGCCCTCCTCTTGCTGTCATCAGTCCTCCCTGTCTTGTCACTCACCTTCTTCCCATCCTGAGCAGGGGCTCACAACTTACTGAAAGTTAAGATTTTTTTTGGTTACAAGTAACAGCCAATTCACATTCTCTTAATCCAAGAAAGAATCAGTTGAATCACACATTAGGAAGGATTTTATAAAAGCTCAAAGGTGTAATGAAAAATATATAAGAATTAGGACGTTGTGGCTGCATCTGGACTCTCCCTCCTCCGTATGTAGAACTCTAAGCTCACTTACTATTGCTCGGCTCTTTCTGCAGAGGGAGGTGCACATGTTGGGAAGAGCCCCATCAGGGTCCTGTGCAACATTCTCATTTCCCAGCCGAGCAACCTGAGAGGAAAGAGTTATTGGCTCACAACCTCTATGTACAGTCCCAGAAGAGGGCTCTTATTTCCTGAATGGGGAATGGTTTTGTCAGAACAGAGTGCCATGGTGACCTGGGATTCAGTCCCAAGCCTACCTTGGCACAGAGTACAGAAGAGAAAGAGAGCGAACCTGTCAGGCAATAGACACAGCTCTTTCCAACGCCCCCTGTACCACCCATATTGTAATCTTTTCGGCTAACATTCGAAAGTGTTTAGGCCACGAACCTCACCAGAAACAGAAGCAAAGTAAATCCTACCTGGAAAAATCACCTTCCAATGACTTACGCAGTTGCTCATCACCCTCTCTGAGGCTCACTCATGTCTCCTGAGTGAGAGGCTACCTTTTCATTGCCACATATGGCCCTGACAGATCGGTGCAGTCTAGCTCTGTTGGAGCTGTCTCAACAAGTTCCTTCATCTCACTTCCCCAAGAGGAACAATCATGGCTTCTCTGTAGAGCTCTGTTCAGGATAAAATGGTCAGCTCATGTTGATTGGTCTTGATCAGATAGATTCAAGAAAGGGATACTCTCACTCTAACCCCAAGGCTAACATGTCTTCCCTGGAGGAGATGGGGCCATGCTGACCTTGTGAGCGAGCATTGCAGACGTGCATGCTCATTGAGAATGTCACTAAATTGTTTGGGTGCAAGTGGGTCCAGAATGTTCCTACTGCTTTATTGCTGTTCAGGGAAGGTCCCTGGCTCTACTTATGCCCCATGGATGCTTCCAGTCTCTAGACCTTGTCCTCTTTGAGTCGTTCTCTCTCTTTCTCTTTCTCTCTCTCTCTTTCTCTGCACATTCAGGAGTATACACCTTTCTGTCCAGCACCTTGAAGTCTCTGGAAGAGAAGGACCATATCCACCGGGTCCTGGATAAGATCACAGACACCTTGATCCACCTGATGGCCAAAGCAGGCCTGACTCTGCAGCAGCAGCACCGGCGCCTGGCTCAGCTCCTCCTTATCCTCTCCCACTTCCGGCACATGAGGTGAGACATCCGTGGGGTTCCACAGCAGAGATCTAAAGAGAGCTCACCCAACCCATGCAACAGTTGTCCCAGGAACAGCCTTCTGCTGCATACAGAGGGTGCCCTTGGAACAGCTCCTGCACATCAGAAGCCCATGCTATGGGAGGGCAGAAGAGGAAGGCATTGACTCTGTCTGGGGCATGGGGGCAAATGTTGGAGTACGATATGTATACTTGGTTGGAAGCATGGGCAGGGCCCCATAGCAATGTGGGAAGAGGCCAATCAAAGGAAATGGGTGGCTTGCACCTCCTCTGAAGGCACTGGCTGTATCCCTTAGTGTCCCTTCCTGTGACACACCTTCCTCCACTTAACACTGCAAATCCTTAACACTTGTTAGCCGGATGCCTCTTGGAGAGTAATACTGACTCCACTCCTTGTCACCTTTATTGCCATTACCCTGGGTCTAAGCATAAGTCTCTGTCATTTCCTGTTGGATTTTGGCACCAGCCACCTCCTGCCTCTCATCTGTCCTGGTCAGTTTCCCATGATGCAGTGAGAGTAATCAGTCTAAAATCAAATCAGATCATGTTGTCTTCCTGCTTAGAAATCTTTGAGAGGTTTCTCATGACTTTGAGACAAAGATATAACACTTCATTTTCTTTATATTATTCTGTGTGGGTCCTTGGTAATTTGCTGGGATCTTTTCATTATTTGAGCCTGCAGTATAGCACTCTATGAGTCATCTGGAGGCTCCACTTCAGGCTGCAGTTTAGTGGAGCAGCTCTGGGGGTCACAGTGGGCTCACTTCCACGTCTGCAGGGCCACAGGTGGGACTTGGCTTCAAGCTGCAGATGCATAGCTTGGCCAGCTTACTCTGCCTTTCCTGTCTCCAGTCTCATCCTTCTTGTATTTACAGTTACCTAGGATGTGTTCTCTACAGTGGCAGAGGCGACTGGGGCAACTTCATTTGAATCACTTGGTTATGTCGTGTCCACTAACATTCCATTACCTGAGCAAGTGAGCTGGTAAACCCCAAAGTCAGGGGTCAGGGACACAGGGCAGGGGAGTGAATATTTTGAACATTATTTTAACCTATCATCACTTAGACATCACGCCTTGCAAAAGCACCTACTGACTATTAGAGCCTACTTGGAACTTATGTCCTGTTCTTCCCTATGGTAACTGTCCATTTTACTATCTTCCTGCCTCATTAGTCTGTAAATTCGATGAGGCTGTCATCGCAATCTGTCTTGATTGCTGTGTTTACCCAGTTCAACCTAGCATAGTCCTGGCCACACAGTAAATATACAGAGAATATTTTCTACTGAAGCCAAGGAAGGACATCACTAGAGGAGCTAGAATCTCTAGTGCCAGGAGGTGAAAGAGGCTTCAGTTTATCCCAAATGATCATGACCTTGACTGGACACAGGCGTAGTGCATGTCTTGCATAGCTCTGCCTCCACAAAAGAGGTGAAAAATAGTAGATTCTTTATTGCAGACTCCAAAAAAAACCACAATCATGACAGTAATCTGAAGTGGTGACACTAGAAGGGCAAATACCCATGGGTCACTATGTGACATTGGGCTTACCCCAAGTCCCTAGAAATCAGAAAGAGAGGGCTTCTCTAAGTACCTCTAGGGAAAGGACTGAGATATCCAGAGGTGTAGGACAAGATAATTTAAGTAATCTTCCAATCTTGAGCTCTGTGATTCAGACGGCAAGAAGTTTGTACCATTAAAGACTCAGGTATCACCCTTCCTGGAGACAATCTTACAAAACTGTTAACTTCTTGTAAGCATAGAAATATTTTTTCCTTTGCATCCCCCAGATTTTTATATATGAATATTTACATACATGGAAGTATGTGCTGACAACATTATTATTGATTAAATGAATGATAAAGGAGTGAATCAGTGACTAAAGGACCCATGGTATGTTTTCCTCTGTCCTGTGAACTTGGAATTCATGAGTAAAGGCTTCCACACAGGAGTGACATTGGGCTTACCCCAAGAGTGTTTGGGAGAAACTAGTTACAGTCTCTGCTTACAATTCCCTGAGAATCCTTGTGTAATAGGCGAGGGACTCAGGCTGCCAAGTAGAGTATGTGGCTGCTTCAGAGCAAGCATTTCCAATCCTTTCTTGTCTTTTTCTCTGAAGATTATCCTAGAGAGGGAACCAGAGAATGGACCTGAATAACATAGCCACAGCCTGGCTGTGAGGGTAATCGTTCCCTCGAAGAGAATCTGCTCGCTCCCTCCAAGCTAGGGATTGCAGTAACGTTACAAGAATCACGTGGCACCAGGAATGTTTTCATTTTGTTGGTATGAGCTGCTGATTTTTCAGATTTTTTTTAACTGCTTGCCTGCATTAACAAGCCCAATTAGTTACCAATAGTACCAAGAATATCTACGCTAAATATTTAGTGGCTCTGGCTGATTTAACTGGCAACATATGGTAGAGATCCTAGAAGCAAGTAGTTTCTTCTGGAATTGTGTGAAAAACCAGGGAGAAGCTGTAATCCTTGAGGAAGCTGGAGGCACTTCCTTTACTCCTATTGTTTTCTACTTATGTTTCTCTGTATATTTTTCTCTCTTTCTCCATCACACACACAGTCACACACACACACACACACACACACACACACACGTGTGCACACAATAATATTTTGGTAACTCACTACAGCCAGTCTAAATCATAGACCTGTTTTATTAAGCTTGGCCCTAGCCATATGTTCCTACTCAGAGAATTTAACACCGTATTTCATCTGACTGTAAATGTGATTCATTAGGGTGCACAAGGGAGACACCGCCAGACTCAAGGGGCACTTAACTTTAACAGCATTTTAAATTAAAGAGCAAAGCAAAAACAAAATAACACTTAAACATGTGATTTAGGTTGGCCCACAGTCCTGAAGGCTCTGGGCTGTGTTTCCATGGCAGGGCTCCAACTTGTGCTAGCTTTCCCTCACCAACAATGCAGACCCTTGCTAAGATGTTCTCCTGGTCCTGCCTCCTCTTGGCACATGCTTCTTTTAGAGAAATTTCTACTTATGTAGAGGTTGTTGTCCTCCCATCCCCATCCTGCACTGCATGAGGGACAGAACAGAATCCTTCCTGGTGGAGGAGAGCAGAGGAGGAGCCTGGGAAAAATGTCATGCGCCTACATCTGTCTCCTCCTGGTTGTCCCCTGGTAGCAGGACACTTAGCAAGTTCTTGGTACTGTTCTGGCTGCAATAGAGAACAGGGTGAACAAATCATTGCCCTTGCAGGATTGCCCTTGTAAGTATGCACTAGGGTGTGTGTGTGTGTGTGTGTGTGTGTGTGTGTGTGTGTGTGTGTGTGCTTGGAGCTGGGAAGAACAAACACACACAAATTCAGAGCAGAATTCCACCAAGAAGTGTGTTAGGGAAAAAGAAACAATGTGGAGGACAGCAGCTGAGACTGCAGGGGCCTGAGATCCTTGGCACAGGCTCACAGAAACCTCTCTGAGAAGGTAGCATTGGAGGACCTGGGAGCCCTGTGTGCAGAAGGAGGAGCTGCCATATGCAGGTCCCCTGACTCCAGGAGGACTCAGTTCCTGCAGGGAGCTGGAAGCATGGTTGAGGAGAATGAGCTGAGGGTGGAAGGCAGGAAAAGCTTGTCAAGGGACACTGGGGAAGGTCTGATGATCCTTGGGGCATGTGGGTAGGGCTTTCTGTTTTCTTTTGAGTTGGGTGGGAATCTACTGAGAGGTTTCACAATGGGAATTTCTTGAACTGCTTCACATATAGAGAAACCTCAGTCCTCCTGCTGCATGTCCCAGGTTCTCCTTTTAGATATCATGGTGATAGAGGAGAATGGGGCCTTGTGCCAGAAAGTTGCAGGGAGAGAGTGTGAGGGTGAGACTATCCCCATGGAGGGGCAACTTGAAAACCACAAGGAGGTGAGCCCCACACAATATACTCTGAAGTCCCTCGGCGTTCTTCAGATGTCACCCTAAAATGGATTGTCACGCAGGAGGAAGATTGCATTCCAGGTGTCCTTGCAGTTTCCATTCCCCTTCCTAGGAACTCAGGCCAATCTGGGGCTGGGTTGGATCTAACGTGGTCCTCTCTGTGTCCTCTGTAGTAACAAAGGCATGGAACATCTGTACAGCATGAAGTGCAAGAACGTGGTGCCCCTGTATGACCTGCTGCTGGAGATGCTGGAGGCCCATCGCCTGAACACGCCCTCCAACCCTGTGGGCGGGCCCCCGGAGGAGCCCAGCCAGAGCCAGCTGGCCATGATGGGCTCCTCTTCAGCACATTCCCTGCCAACGTACTACGTTGCCCAGGAAGCAGAGAGCTTCCCCAACACAATCTGAGAGCTCCTGGCTTTCCCAAAGTTCTGAGAATCCCTGCAGCCTTTCACCCATCATGCATCAGTTTAGCAGAACTCTGTCTCCTGCATACACCCTGGCATGCATCCACTGCCAGTGGCTTTCTAGTAAGAGTGGCCATTCATTTGCTTGCTCCGTTCTTAGTGCTATGTCTTCTGTTGGGAACAGCCAAAGGGATTCCAGGGCTAAGTCTTGATAACAGCTCCCTTTCCCCCTTTGCTACATTATTGAGAATGAGGATTCCTGTGGTTCTTCATGACTGAACTCAGCCTATGAGATGACTGCATTGAAGCTACTCATTGAGACCCAGGCCTGGAGAATAGACATTTCACCTCTGCTAAGCACTTTGCAATGGCTCCAAGAATAAGCCTCAGGAAAGGATTTAAAGTGGCTCCTTCAGTTGATGACTTGGAGAAAGCTAACTCAAGGGTTTGTTAGAGCATCCTCTTGTATTCCTATAGTAATGTGCCACTTCGTTAAAGTGATACTTCGACCTTTTTGCTCCATCGCATGGCTTTAGCACGATATTTGGTGATTGTCTGTTCATTTGCCCTATACAAATACAAGATGCACACAGGGAAGGAAGATCCCCTAATTGTCAAGACCATGTCAACTTAAACACTGAAACTTCACGCTTGCTCAAGTCTCCGCTGCTGGTTTCCCAGAGCACTACATATATAGGTCATGGGTTCCAGGTGATCCTTGCTTCCCAAGACCCTATGGGAAACAGCAAGTCAGTTTGAGTTAAGTCACTCCCACACAGAACCATCTCCCCATATATAAGAGACATGTTTTAGTTTTGTTTTTTGGATTTTCCTCCTTTTATAAAAGAAAGCCCTCCATCTCCTGAACTTGCAGCTTTAGGACCTGGTCTTGCGGGGCTTCGCACCTGCCAACAATGGGCGCTCTCTTTGGCTCTTCCTGTGTGGTTTAACCCTGAATTATTTAGAGCCCAGCCATGATCAAGGGCAGTTTAAATGAGCTGGCCCACTGGTGATACTTCTAGATTTTTTTTTTTTTTTTTTTTTGCTTTTGTTTTTCTTTAGCCTGGGGCATGGGACTAAATAGTAAATGTGCATGATGGCTGTGGCTGCTCAAGAGTGGGAGGGTGAGTAAGGGAGAAACTGGCTAAAACTCTGTGGCAGGATCGCCTTTGCTCAGGGTGGCCAGACCACAGGCTGCAGGTGGTTTGTAGCTCACAGCCCCCACACTCCACAGCCAGGCTGCCCTGAAGCCGACTGGGTGGTTTGCCTCTTGTTCAACCCCATGTGGCACTGACTGGAAGAAACAGGATTAGACAACTGAATTCTAAGCCTAGCACATTCCAGGCAAATGGGCAGGGATTGGAAAATTCACTCCCTCAGGCTGCCTGGACCTGGTCAGACTACCCATGCCCTTGGTTATTCAGAGATCATCCAAAAATCAGCCAGTGGTTTTGAGAAGAAAATATCCCCACCCCCTCAACCCCACCCCCAACTCACATCCCTAAACTAGCTAAGCCAGCAGAATAAGACCAGAATCGGTCCACAAGAATTTTTTGACCAGCAGGCTAAAAAAAGAAAGTATTGGCCCAGCTACAGGGTTGCCTTCCTGGCCTTTCCTTCGCCAGTGCAATTTTGAGTCATTTCCTTTTCTTAACGAAAAAGAAAATTTGGTTTCCTTCCCTGACTTCATGGTCTGTAATTCAAACCCTACTGAGAGGTGAGATACTAGCCGACAACCCAGGTGCGCTGCGAGGCTTCTCTTGGCATGTTCTGTTTGGAAAAGTGAGTTTCCTGAATTTTTGCTTTCCCAGTGAAGTGACTACCAAAGGGCTGGGAAACAAGGGGGGCCAAAATAATTTTTTAAAAAGATTTTTTCATATTTGTGCATCTAAATTTGGGGCAATTTTCTATATCTGTGCTAAGAATATGTTCATGTAACATAATTCTTTTGTTGTTTGTTTTTGAAGCACCTTATATAGTATAATATATATTTTTTTGAGATTGCATTGCTTGTTTATCAGACAATTGAATGTAATAATTCTGTTCTGGGTTTAATTTGACTGGGTTAACGTGCAAAAACCAAGGAAAAAGATTTTGTTTTTTGTATATTTTTCAAGCTACCTTGTCATGTATGCAGTTTTGATGCCTAAAGTCTGGTGATTATTCATTTAAATGAAGATCACATTTCATATCAACTTTTGTATCCACAGTAGACAAAATAGCGCTAATCTACATGCCTATTGTTGGATATTGAATGACAGACAATCTTATGTAGCAGAGATTATGCCTGAAAAGGAAAATTATTCAGGGCAGCTAATTTTGCTTTTACCAAAATACCAGTAGTAATATTTTTGGACAGTAGCTAATGGGTCAGTGGGTTCTTTTTAATGTTTGTACTGAGATTTTTCTTTTAAAAAATAAAAAAACCAAAAAAAAAAAAATTAAAAAACAACCTCTAGGACTATAGATGATGTAATACCAGCTAAATCCAAACAATAATGCAGCCGAAGGTTTTACATTATTCATCTACTGTGTTTGTATTCATGTTAAGATACTACTACGTATTTGAGATGGGCAGAGAACATCAGATGTTTGAAATGTTAGCCCAGAGTTCAAACAACTTTGGAAATCTCTTTTTATTCTTATTTGAAGTGCCAATAATGAGCTGCTGATATTTTTCAGCTGATGTTGCTGTGGGGCATAGGGGGCATGCTGGAAAATTGGGCCCCTGATTTTCCTCCACTTTGAGGCAATTTAAAGCTTGAAAGACATTCTAGCCTGACATCCACTTGTAGAGTCAGGCTAGAATGGGGCGGTAGGTTTGGGAATTTGAAGAATGGGAAAACTAGGAATAAGACATCAAAAGATTCTAGCACCTGGAATATGTACCAGGCTTCAGATTTCTGTTTCTGCACTGTATCCAAAATAACTAGCTCCAGTGACAGCCATTTCCAACATGGCAGCTTGAATTCTTGAGAAGAAAGAGTCATATGCAGTGATGTCCAAAGAATAGCTAGAGGTCTGTGTTTCTTTTAGCCACTGTCTAGCTTGCTGCAATGATTTTATAATTCTATCATGCAGCAATAAGAGAGACTAGGTCATCCGAAGAGAAGATCTCCACTGATACAGACTGCAAAATTCAGCCCAATGAAGTGTAACCTTTGATTCCCTAATAGCTTTGCTATTATTATCTTTAACCATGCCATATCCTATACCTTTTGGGAACTGAAAAAATAAGTGACTTGCTAATAATTTACTTGTAATCACATTAAAATGTTCCCACTTTGAAATGGTATACATCCAAATGGCCGTTGATTTAAAGCCCCCTTGCTCCTCCATAAAACTAACTACAGATCTCTTCCTGTTCATATTTTCCACCTTTGAAATGGAATGTTGGTACTAGGGATGGTCACCAGGACCATCGTACTGTCCCGTACTCACAGGCAGGTCTGCTTGGGGAAACCAGTTCTTGGAAAGACAAATAGAGACATACAGTAGCTCATAAGGCAACCATAATTCTCTTTGGTGCAAGTCTTGGGAGGTTGATCCAGATCACACTGCACAGTTTTTAGATTAACCCCCTGAAAATTTACTCATTCTCACCTGGAGGAAATGGATTTAACTGTGGTCCCAATATCCATCTTTTCGTTAGCATGATTATGTTCTGTTTCTAGCTTCATGTTTCCATTTAAAGTGTGGGCTCTTCTTAAGTCACCTAAAATTGTTTTCTAAGTAATCGCTGCCTCTATTAGAATATTTCAATTTTGCACTGTTTTTTCAGAGACTCAAAAATTTCTATTCTTTATTGTTTTTTTTCATCCAAATGTGCCTGAACTTTTAAAATATGTAAATGCTGCCATGTTTCAAATTCATCTTTTGTATGTGTGTGTGTGTATGTGTGTGTGTGCGTGTGTGTGTACAAAGCTGTGCACCCTGGAAATACCATATAGTCCCATGAGCAGGTGCCTAAGACATAGACCCCTTTGCATTGACAGAGAGGTCATTGGTCATAGAGACTTGAATTAATAAGTGACATTATGCCAGTTTATGTTCTCTTCACAGCTTATAAACAATGCTTTTTGTGCACTACATATTCTTCAGTGTAGAGCTCTTGTTTTATGGGAAAAGGCTCAAATGCCAAATTGTGTTTGATGGCTCCATATGCCCTTCTGCTAATGCTATGATTATTGATGTGATTCCATTCTGTCACAGCTTTGCTTCGTTTAATGAAACACACTTGTAAACCTCTTTTGCACCTTGAAAAAGTAAAGATTCCAGCGGGACACTTGAGCACTTCTAAGCCAATTTTCTCAACCTATTTGATGTTCAAATAAAGAATAAAGACAACAAATTTCATTTTTTTTTTGTATGCTCTGCTTCTTGCTAATGGCTCACTACTGATCATGGGAAATCAAAGTGATTTGAAGAGCTGCAGAAAACTGTGAGTCTGAATGCCAGGGCCCTCCCTGCTTCAGGACATCGCTCCAGGGATGCATCCCAGGATACACCCCAGGGATGGGACACCAACAGAAAGTGCGCTGAGCCTCAGGGTTTGAAAGTTTTAGGCAACTGATTTTTCCAAACTTTCAGCTTATCAACAAAACAATGGTAATAACACCTAATTTGGAAAATTGTTGTGAGGATTAAATGAAATGCCCAATAAAATAGTAGTTGCTTATCAAATGCTGCATCCCAACTCTTTCCCTATGAAGGGAGAAAGTGGAGGCTTGTTATAATTAATAAATGAATCAGTGAAAGGATGGTGAATGGTACAAAACATGTATTTCGAGATCAATGCCCTCTCTCCTGGCATGGAAGTAAAGCAGAACACTGGTTCACTTCCAGCCCAGGATTCCAAAATAGGAAACCTTTTACTTAACATGAAGCTACCTTCATGTTCCCTTTTACCCATATTTTCTATGTAATACTCATAAATTTGGGTGAAGGGATGTGATATACTGAAAGGTACATCATGTACACATAGGCTCTGTAACTAGAGAACTGATTGGAATCCTCATTCTACCAGTCATTGTCCTTGGGTAAGTTCAATTCCCTGTGCCTTAGCTTCTTCCTTGTAGAGTGTATTGGACTCCTTTTCTTTGCTTGGAAAATAATACATCTGAGACTAGGTAACACACAGAAAAGATGTTTATTTATTTCCCCCTTTTGGAAGCTGAAAAATCCAGAGAGCGTGGTTTTGACCCTTCACAAATCTTCATGGTGGATGAGTGCCATTGTTCAGTCATAAACATCCTTAGATGTCCCATGTGTGAAGAGGTGGATTTTCAAAGGGTGCTTAGATCATGGGGGTGTTACTCTCAGTAGATTATTCCATTAATGAGTTCATGGTTGAATGTGTGATGGGGCTCGCTTGTTGGAAGAGGTGGGCTGCTGGAGGTGTAACCTGAAAGGTGGTGTTTTTATCCAATTTTCATCTTCCCCCTCACTCCCTTCTCTCTCTGCTTTTGGGCTGCCTTAGGTGAGCAGCTTTTCTTCACTATGCCCTTCTACCAGGCCTTGGAACCAGCCAGCCATGGACTGACACTTCTGAAACTGTGAGCCAAAATCAACCTTTCCTCTTTTAAATTGGGATTGTTAGCAATTTTGTCCCAGCTACAGGAAAATGGCCAATGCAGTGAGTATTATAGGATTCACATGATCAGACTGGAAGCCAGAGGAATTGGAGAAGTCATTTTTGTTTTTTTATTGAAATTCCCCCTCGAGGAAACAATGGCAATCCTAGGAATCCCTAGGATTAATCCCTTATGAAGTCAGTGCCCCCAGTGTGCTTTTGTTTTGTTCTTTATGCATTTACTACAGGGTCTACAGCATGTCACTACACAGATTGGACTCATAGTTATCCTCCTGTTTTCAGCCTCTGAAGTGCTGGGATTACAGGTGTTCACCACCATGCCCAGTCTCAGTCATCTCAGCATGCCCTGGGGGTGGGGCTGCCACCACATGCCAGGCATCGAACTCTAGTCCCTGTGCCTGCTTTAATCTGCTGAGCTATCTGGCTGGCTGTACCCTCCAAGTCCTTTGTTAACACACACTCTCTCTCTCCTTCTCCCCCTCTCCTCCTTTACCCTTCTCTACTGCTCTTCCTTTCCCCTTCTCCCTCTCCCTATCCATCTCCCTTTCCCTCCCTCCTCCCTCTGTGTTGGGGATTGAACCCAGGGCCTTTGCACTGAGCTACATTTTTAGCAATTTCTTATTTTGGAGACAAGGTCTTCATAAGTTGCTAAATGGCTCATGCTGTGCTCAAACCTTTGATCCTCCTGCCCCAACTTCCTAGAGTTCTGGGATTACAGATATGCACAATTAGGTACATTTGGTCCCACTTCTTAAAACTTCCTCTACCTGACAAGATCACCACACTGAGGATCAAGCTTCCAACACATAAATCCTTAGAAGACATGCTCAGAAAGATAATCATGCCACCTGCCTGGAGGGATTGCTGTGAGGGCTACACATGGGCTCATTCATGCAGAGCATTTAGAGATGGTGGCTGACATTTTTTGTCTTTTTTTGGGAATCCTCTGCAATGGTATAGCTGACTTCATTAGTCTCAGTTGGGTTCTTTTCATATTTGAGTGATTTGATTCCAAGAAGATAATTTATTATCTTATTCTATTACTCATTGGTCAAGACTTCCAATCCTTTTTCCTTGGTTGTCTCCTTTCGCCAATGGAAATCAGAACAGCATGCACACTCCAGGAGTGCTGTGAAGATTAAAAGAGATCTGCGCCTGCGGCACGTGGTGCAGAGCCAGCGCATCTAAGCCTCCATCCCTGTTAGTGATGATGTTTGAAATTACTTTTACCCTCCAAGAGCACGGACCATAATTATTGATATGTTTGGGTTTACATTAGGCATTTTGCTACAAAAAAAAAAAAAAAAAAAAAAAAAAAAAACCCACCAAATTTCCAAGAACAATAAAAAAAAACAAAAAACAAAAAAAAACACCAGGGATTGAACTCAGGACCTTGCACTTGCCTGGCAGGCACGTGTCACTGAGCTATCTCCTCAGCCCTATTTTGCTACTTTTTGCCTCCTTTTTTGATCACTCTTTCACTTTATTGATTTTGTTGTTGTTGTGTTACAGTATAAAATGTATGTATTTGAGCTTTTCCCAGGTGTGAAGATATAACTCCTAAAAGCCTTGAAGACAGTGGTGCCAGGAGATTCTTCTATCATATATCTAGTCTTCAATCTGGTTCCTGACACAGAGCTCCTAAATCGTTAGAATTTCCAGAGTGATAGGACATTTCTGGTTCTAATCAGCTGACTCATGGTAGGCTTCCTGTTAGCTTCAGGTGGGGACTAGTTGCTGGGGAATCTAATCTTGGGGTTAGAAGCTTGGAATTTTGAGCCGCACCTTGCAACTTGTGAGGAGGGGAGAGCAGTTGAAGGCTGAGGTGGCCATGAATGGCTCCAGGTGTGTGTAGT